GGAGTGTATGGTGTGTGTGCTGTGTATGGGGAATCAAAGATAAAGGTAATCCATTTGACTTGGCCATATCTACGACTGTCACACAGTCGCCACAGTTTCAGTCTCAGTTTCTATTTCAGTTTCAGGCGGGACTTTGACTCTGATTTGAAAACTATGCACAGCTGCGCAATTTCGTATGCGACAGAGAGGCTTGTTGGGCTTTTCGCTTTTCGTTTTTTTCAGTTTTTTACGCTTTTTCGGGGCTGACTAATGAAACCGAACAATAATAATTTAGTAAGTCCAGACCTACGCATGCGCAAAAGGTGGATTCGATGGCAATGCCGATGCCGAAGCCTGGCAATTGTCACAGCACAAAACGCAATTTGTCGTCGTCGTCGTCGTTGTCGTATCGTCGTAGACGGGGAGTGGAAGTCACTGAACCCGCTCGAGCCAAGCTTTTTTTCTATTACTTTTTTTTTGTCCACCTATATTTCCCCCACTTGCTATCTTTACACGGAAAGAAATTAGGTACTAGGACCCATATACTTGGAATAATGGATATTTTAAAGGTTTTCTTAGTATATTTTATGTTAGAACCTTTTTTGATTATGTTAAAAAACCTTTTTTTATTTAAATAATAAGAATTTTGGTAAGAATTTCGGGCTTACCTCGCAGTTAAAAGAGTTTTATTTAATTAAAGAGTGTTTTGAATTATATAGAAAGCAATTTAAGCAATTTCTTCGCATATTTTGCTATAATTCTCAAGCAGTTTTAGCTTTAGAGGAATGATATTAAGCAATTTTGTTCAAAAACTTTGGCTTTCTGAATTTGTTAATTACATAAGGGATAAATATAATTGAAAATAAATCTTAAGAAAAATAATACATTTATTTAGAAGAATGCTAAAATTTCTCCAAGTGCAGCTCTCTTTCTCTCTCCATCTATATTTTTTTTTTGGGTGTAGGCCAGGCCCGCAGTAAACAAAAGCCACGTTTGACAAAGAAAAATCTTACAGTTTTTGCAGCTAGTTACAATTGTAAGTAGCACACACACAACACACACACACTCACCGGAACACACACTTATTTTGCTGACAACTGCGCAGGCGCGCGTGTGCGTCATGAAATTAGTTTATTTGTTTGCATAAATGTGCCAAAGCCCAAGACCCCCACTCTTATATGTGATTTTTGTGTGCAGCAAATTTCTAATAAATTCGTTGTTGTTTCGGCACCCGTGTCATGCACACCTGGAGCATAATTCGCCCTCAGCCAAACCAACAAAAAATACAAAAACAAAAACAAAACCGAAACAAAAACTAAACTCAACTGAACTGAGCCATGAGTCAATTTCCGTCAGCTGCGCCAGCTGAGCAGCAGCCAAGTTGGGAGTTAATAAAGATACATTTTGCCACCACACAAACTACTGATTCGCACCGGGAATAATAGTAAATAAATAAGTGAATAGGTATTCCATATGCACAACTTATAAGCGATAATGATTATAATAATGGGTATAGGAAAGCAAAGGTTTTAAAGAGATTTTAAAGGGTACTAAAAGTTAGAAGGGGTTAAAATAATATATAGATGGAATGGGTAATTAATAAAAATATATATATATATATATTATGAGTTATCCATAAACACATGGTTTAGCTTTAAAATATTATACTTTTCAAGAAAATATATCCTCAATTAATTTGTTCCCCTTAATTAACCTCTCTCTCTAGTCATCCCAGAAAAACAACTTAAAAAGATTTTCCACAATTCCTTATCCCATAATTAAGATTACCCCAGCTTCTTGTTTTCCCCAGAATATGTTCGTTCACTCATATTTCCTGTAAAGTAAACGAAATTGTAAATTTCATTCCATAAATATTGACGTTCTACCCAACGTGATTTAAACAACGAAAAATTTGGTAGAACGACGTGCCTCTCTTGAGACCATAACAGCAGCATCTTCTACTAAGGATGGCTATGGGTTGGGGCAAGGGCCCACTTAGGCCTCGGAACTTAGAACAATAAACAGGGCACAACAAATTCTTTTCTTTGATTTCTTCTTATATTTTTTTCCTCTCCCCTGATTTAACAACACACATTCAAATCAATGAATGCCTGCCACTCGAGAGGGTTCAAGGGGGGGAGCAGCTCTTTTCGGCCACTTGAGCGTTCGATGACATTTCGTTTTTAGTTTCCCTCTGTACAATTATTATAATACATAAATTTATGCTACAGCAGCAGCCAGGGTTCAGTAAGAAAAAATTTGTAAAATCATTTCTCGAGTGTGTGCCTCCTAAAAAATAAAGTTTTAACGATTCTTCAGGTTCAGATTTGGTCGGGCCGCGACCGTAGCTGTAATAATAATGTATGTGTGCTCCACTTATTACCCAAAGCCATTCCAAACCCATTCCAAACCCATTCCCGTTTACTTTGAACTATAACGCTGCCCCATAACTTGATGACAAAAATAGTAGTTGGTTGTCGTAGTTTTGGGCTACCTACTATGTTTGTTAATTTGCGGTAATTGCCCACGCAGACATGTGTACTTACTATATATACATATATATCGGGCATGGTCTATAAGTCTACAAGTCTACAAAATCTAACAATGCCTTTGCTTTATTTTAAGTCACAAGGTTGACTTTTGTGGAAGTCTCTGCTGCTGTTGTTGTGTGTGTAGGTTCGTTCGTTATTAACAATTGTTAAATTCGAGTAGAGCATGTGTAGATCCAGTAATTATTTTTCGGTTTTATACAAATGGTTAAAAAATAGATAACCAAAAGTCATATACACACTCTCAAAATCTAAACCAGTTTGCTTATTTAATTTCAATGCTTAGTCTTGAAGTCACATTGATTGGAAGTGCGATTACTTTTATACTTTTATGAATGCCAAAAAAACAGAAGGAAAAGAATTAAATATAATTTTTGTTTTTGGGGAATTTTTGTATAACATTAAGCAGATACAGATACAGACCCCAAAAAGGGCACATTCTTGACTTACCTTTTCTTTCTAGTATTTTGTAAAGACTTATTTCTGAGTTAACTTTATCTTTTCTTGACTAACTTGGCTGAGAAGGCCCCACCCTAACCAGCACTCGTCTCGAATTTAAATGATTCTCACATTCTCGAATGAATATAATGAGTACCCAAACCCAAAAAAATAAAAAGTCCAACCACCCGTTTGCAACTCATGACTAAAAATTTAAACATTACCATTAATAGTCAACAGCTATAATTAATTGTTTGCTAATAAATATCAGGAAGACTACAAATAATACAAATAATGATAATAATAATATTAATAACAATAAGCGCACGCGCCGACGCCAATGACTAAGTTTCCTTTAGGTCTCTTTGGATATCCGATAAATGCGCGTCTACATAGATATAAGCAGTATATACATACTTGTATATAAATTGTAAATCAGATACGGCATAAATATTGAACACATGGCGCAGTTTCTGCTTCTTGTGGGTGCTAAAGGGGGAACTGAGCAAAATTGAAATAAAATAAAGCACAATAAAACGTACTTAAGATTGACGATTGTGCTGTGTTTGTAGATGGGGGCGCAAAAGGCGATCAATGGAAGAGTTTTTATTTTATTTTTTGAGGAGAGACTCCAACGAATACTTAACGAGGAGTACAGTCGAGTCGATGGGGAATGTCATTAAAGAAGATGAAATGTTTTATATTTACCAATTAAAGGGTGACTTAAATTAGATATCACTTTATTTTGGCATTTAATAAATTTTAAGAGGGTTTATGTATGAATGAACATTGTGGGAATAAGTTCAACATGTTGAAAATATCAAATTTCATTTGGAAAATATCATATAGTTTGATTTATTGATATATAAAGTATTAAAAAACATTGGTTTTAATTTGTAATATGTTCATATAATAAAAAAATATATCCGATACATTTTACTTAATTTAGTTTTACGTTTTTCGATATATTATAATCATTTATCGCCTTATTATCGATTTTTTATTTATCGATTTTCGCTATAATGTAGATATTTCCCTATTTATTGCTAACCCTAGGTTAAACCCATTTATTAAATTGTATTCATGTGTTTAAAATTAATTATAAGTGAGTTAATCTTCATTCCAAAATGAAAACAACTCGCTTTAGAGTTTAAATATATTTACTTGTTTCAAAAAATACATTTTTAAAGCTTAAACATTTCTTATAAGTCACTTAAATAACTGCTATTTACTTGATTTGATATAATTGGCCGTCACAGATACTCAGATACTTGAGCCAACCTCACAGATACGTACGTTTTCGAAGCAAACAAAATGTCGGCAGCTGCTTGTATTTTGTTGCTTTATTTTATTTTTTTTTGTGTGTGAGTTGTGTTAATGCATAAATTAAAACACGTTCACATGGGTTTATTTTTACGAGCTTTGGGTGTTCATTTTATGCGATTGTTTGCATTTTATTTATACATACATATATGGCTAAGAAGGCACCTCCCCCCTACATTTCTGTCATTGTCTGCTAATTGAAAATCAATTAATGTGACTGCATCCTATAAAGCCCGCCAGTCCATGTCAAAGTCAGAAATCAGAAATCGCAATCATCATTCCAGGCTAAAATAATTCGACAGATAAATTAAAGAAAAAGAAAAGAAAAAGAATAAGAAGCTGAAACAATTCCAAAGTCTCACACCGCCCTGAATCCTTTTGTTTTCACTGTCAGAATATTAAAAAAAATCTAATTGATGTGTGCTTTTGAGAGAGTTAAAAAAACATATCTCCGATTGTCTGGGAACTTAACCAAATTCATCATTTAGGTTCATTGAATTTTGGAGTACGTCTCCAAAGCACTTTTGTGGCACAAGTTTTGCATGCTCAAGTACCTGGCAAAGCCAGCTCCAAGCTGGTAATTTGAGGACTAATCAATGGGGCCAAACGATTCTCGCTTCTCGCTTTTGATTTCTGACTTTACTCATTAACGATTTTTGATATTTTGTTCAAATTTCTCATCACTCGCTACTCGTTGTAATTTATTTGCAGGTCAACAAACAGTATACGGCCAACGATCTGGAGGCTTTTATGAAGATAGCCGCCAACTGGCAGAATTCCAATCACAATTTGCTGGAGGGCGTCGACTTGAAGACGGGTAAGTTAGCCCCCAAATTTCAACTCTTTCTCTATAATAATGTATAAAATTGATGTACAGAAATGACACAGTACATGAACAGTCCCTCGATGAACATGTACAAGAAACGTGAACGCACTCAGAACTGGAATCATCAGGAGAAGAAATATCTTTTAGATTTGTGTCGCAAGGATATGAGGATTATAGAAAACAAAAGATTAGATGCCGGCCTCACGGCTGTAAAGAATAAAGCCTGGAAAATAATACACCAAAAGTTCTCCAATCAATTTGGCACAGATCGCACCTGTAATCGCCTCAAGGAGCAGTGGCGACGCATGAAGGGTAAATTTTTATTTATAAATATGAAATCTACATAAAATCTAATATCTAATTTCTTTAGCCTGCACTCGAAATGAGATCTTGGACTACAACAATCGCTTGGCTAGGTTTGGAGCCGAGGTGGCCGATCGCAAGAAGCCTTCACCGTTTACCTTTGAGGTCTGGGATTTCATGCAAGAGGCCAAGAAAGCCTGCAAATCTGAGGCTCTAGATGGCATTGACTACTCCAAGATACCGCTGGCCTTGGAGGAGGGCTTTGAGTATCGCGAGGATTACAAATTCAATGCCGATGAACATGACATGGATGAGTAAGTTAACCCTTAAACTTCTGAAAGAACTTTAATTAAAAAAGGTTTTCTCTAATCAAGCAGCAGTCGCACCCCTCCTCAAGAGCTTTGCGATGTGGACATCAAGGAGGAGGAGACCAATGAGACCTTCAATGAGACCTACAACAATCACCATCTCAATCAGAGCGACATCCATGGCAGTGGCGAGCGTTTGAGTGTCTCGCCGAATCACAGCATCAGTCGCAATGGCATCCACGAGGCCGAGAGTCCAGCCACCATTTCTGCAGCAGCTGCCTTGGACACCAGTGGGGCCTTTTTGCCCGGCGGTAGCGGCGACATGTCCGGCTTCCAGGCCAATTTCAATATGAACAACATATCCGCCACACTGGAGGCTTTGAATGCCATTCGAACTGGCCAGTTTCCCAGTGCAGCAGCAGCAGCAGCGGCCGCCATACATCACCAGCACCAGGCACAGGCTCAAGTGGCGCAGGCCCTGCAGCACCAGCACAGCAGCAGCAGCAACAACAATAACAATAATAACGAGGATGATGATGATGTGATGAAGCCACTGGCCAAAAGGCAGCGCACAAACAGTGGCAGTGTGCTGGGTAGCGAGGATCAGGCGATATCAGTGCCTGCCTCGTCGGAATGTCAGGCCCTGGAGCGTTCTGGCAGCAGCAGCAGCAATGGAGGAGCTGCAGTCCTAGCGGGAGCAGGCACAGCCAACGGCGTGAGCAGCAACAGCAGCGACAACTTTGAACTGCGCTTGTTTATGGAAATGCAGAGTAAGGAGCACATGATGCGCATGAAGATACTGGAGGTGCAGTTGCAGGCGGCCAAGCACAGTCGCGACCTGGTGGAGATCAACAAGACGCTGGCGCTGCAGAAGCTGCAGGAGCTGGCCAGCAAGCGGTTGCCCAGTTAGGAGAGACAAAGGAGGAGCAGCAGCAGCCACAGCAGCCCATTGCCGTTTCATGTTACATTAGTTTATAGGATTTGAGAGCAGAGTTAGCCTTAGGTATTAGAGTTAAGTTGAAAACAGGATCCATGGCTACACACACACAGAGACACAAGCAACATTCCTGGCATTGTTGATCAGTATTTTGAAAGCTAGAAGCGAATCCCCCGAAACACCACAAGCACAAACAGTAAGAAGCGAGGATCACCAGGCGCTCGGAAGTATGCCATAATCTTATGATGAATCGCCTACCTCACTCAGTACCCACTCAGCACACGCACACTCACACAGACACACACCCTTCTGGCCGACCCCGACACTTGACCAAGTCAAGGGTCAAGTTTAGTTAGTTTCTAGTTCTTAGTCCACACTCTCTCCAAGTTGCTCAACTACCACCAATGTATTGTACTTATGTTCTTGACTTCAGTTAATCTTCTGCTATCCACCACTAACGATCGAAGCATATTTTAATCATTTTTATAGTCCTAAGAGAACAGAACTCTATATATATATTTGATTTTGATTTTTAAACCTACTTGTATTGTACTTGTATTTATTTTTATCTTTGTATAGACTCACTCTATATATTATATATGTTTGTTTGAATGCCATATTAAATGAAAGTTCTTTTTAATATCCTTTTTATCCCATTTGCGCTGCAAAACAAATTGTTACCACATATTATAAATACATATATGTAGGCCTCAAGAAAGCACTCAATTTATAGTAGAAGGCTTCCTTTGTGTAAAGCGTGTAAATGAAAGAAACAAATTATTTTAAATAAAAGAAAAACAAAAAAAAAAAAACAAAGAAAATAAATGCCTTTTTAAAATCTTATTTTTTTATGGTTTTTATGAGGAATTTTAGTTATCAGAAATTTTAAATTTATTGCTCTGATCTGGTGGGTTGGCTTTCTCCAAGGATTGTATCTTTGTATCCACTTTAATCATCTCCGATATGACCTCGTTTTTCTGACTGAGGATCCTATCTCGCAACATTTTCAGCTGCTCTCTTTGCTGAATTAAAGATATACTGCATAAAGTTGTATAAAAATATATATACAAAAATCCTTACCAGTTTGAGAAAGTGTATATTTTCCTTACCCCTGGCTTTCTCATATAAATGCCTAGAGGTATTCCTGCCACAAGACAGTTTAGATTTATAATATTTAATTTTAAAGTAAACTCACTGATTGCCTTGGAAAAACGCCTTTGATTTGCGTATCAATACCTGCATCAGATTTCCCACCAACTTCGGCATGTCTTTGTATATTCACGTTTCACTATTAATGGTTGAAGATGACTGGAAATTGAAATAATTTTGGAATTTACAGGAAATTTTATAGGTTAAAGAAGTAATGTAATGATAACAGGTCAACGTAATGAAGGCAAAGTGAGAGCCTACTTACTGTGCCGGCTATATTTTGTAGTTCTCTTTTTCACAGACTCTTTTTGAACTTCTCCAGCAAGGCCTTTAGTTCTCGAATTTCCACCATCAGATTCTGTCTTACCGTCTCCGCCCGGAGACTGGTCTTGTGGTCCATTTCCCTGACTTCAGCCTCCAAGGCCCGAAGATCAGCCACGATTTCCTTGATCTTGCGCTCTTTGAGCTTGAGAAATTGTTCCCTTCTCTTGGGTAAAAATTAAAAAAATATAAATATATTAATATATAATTTTTATAAGCATACAATTCTTAGGAAATAGTTGTGCTCATCGCCTTTTCCCTTTTGAAAGAGCTTATCGGATAATTGTCGCCAGTTGGTTCTGTTTATAATAATTAATAATTAATAATTTATAGCATTAAAATAAGTTAATTTCCTTACTTAATCTTGCTTGCTTTTGGGGCTTCTGAGCTTCTCAGAAATGTTATATCCGTGAAGATAAAGGGATTTTTACTCTTGGTTAAACTATAATTACTTAATAACGGCGCAAGTGGCCTATTGAGAAATCACTTGGTTTTGTTAAAAAACATTTATAATTCAACTACTATTACTCACTTTAGGTGGCGTGGAACAAGAACTTTGGTGAGAAATACACTGTTGGCCATGGTGGAGACTAAAATTCGGGTCATTGAGAATATTTAACAATTTTGATTTTGTTGTTCGGTTAAATTATAAAAACCTGACAACTTTTGTAAAGGTAAAAGTAAAGGTACAAATTTGTATTTAGAGTTTCATAGCCTTAAATGGTTGTGCTACATTTCTATCATTTTTAAAGTTTTTAAACATTAAAAAAAAGCTCACTTTGTTAAATTTTAAATTTCATATGTTGATTTGTTAATCTAATAAAAACCTGCACAAAAAAGTATTAGGAATTGATAATAATGCATTTTAGGCTTAGTTATAATAGATTTTAAGGGGTTAGGTGGAACCTCATCGGCAATTAACCTTTCACAAAGTCCTCCTGAAATAAATATACTAGAAATTATTATTTTTAATAAATAATAATGGAAAACGTATAAAAAAAAGCATTGAATAATTTTTAAGAAATTATAGATAACAAGAAGGAAAGCTAACTTTGGCCAGTCAAACAATTAAAATATATTATAACTAAGCCAAAAATGCATTAATTTCGATTCGGAAAGCAGTTTTGTGTTAGTTTTTATTAATTTAAAAAAACTGCATACCAAATTTAAAATTTTAAGAAATCAAAATTTTTGGCCATTTTTGCTAATTTTAATGATGTAACCCCTTATCAAATTTCGCAAAAATGGCCAAAAAATCGATTTCTTCCGGACATATCTAGAAAGATTCGCATGTTAATGCTGATCAAGAATATATATGGTTTATGGGGTCGGAAATGATTCCTTGACTTAGAAAAATATTATTTTGTATTATAAAATCGGATTTTTTATATTAAAAAACTTCTTAATTTTTTTAAATTAAAAATATCATAACTCGGCCGAAAGAGCATTAATTTTAAATCGGAAAACTGCTCTGTGCAAGATTTTCTACAGTTAATAAATCTGCATACTTCATTTACAAATTTTGAAAATTCAATTTTTTATCAAAATCAAAAATTTTAATGATGTAACCCCTTATAAAATGTTGCAAAAATGGCCAAAAAATCGATTTCTTTCTGACATATCTAGAAAGATTCCCCTGTTGATGCTGATCAAGAATATATATACTTTATAGGGTCGGAAAGGTCTCCTTCAATGCGTTCCAAACTTCTGACTGAAATTATAATTTCCTGCAAGGGTATAAAAAGGCAATCATTTTTAATGAGAAATAGCATTTTATTGATATTTTATAAACATTCCTTTTGGTAAGTTTTCTCTTAATAAACAGAGTAAAATAAATTGGGTTTTATTTTCTGGCTATTATTTGGTTTTGTCTTCTTTCAAAGTTTTTTTATAGTTCTCCAGTGCGGCTTTTAGTTCTTTAATTTCCATTATAAGTTTCTGTTTTGCTTTCTCTTGCTGAGCAGTGGTCTTGCTGCCAATTTTACTGAGTTTAGCCTCCAAGACCCGAAGATCAGCCACGATTTCCTTGATCTTGCGCTCATTGAGCTTTATAAATTGTTCCCTTCTCTTGGGTAAAATCAAAATAATTAAAAATATATTTACATATTATATTTATAAACATACAATTCTTAGGAAATAGTTGAGCTCATCGCCTCTTCCCTTTTGAGAGAGCTTATCGGAAAATTGTCGCCAGTTGGTTCTGTTAATAATAATTAATAAATAATCATTAATAATTTATAACATTAAAACCTAAATATTATATCCCTTACTTAATATCGCTTGCTTTTGGGTCTTTTGAACTTCTCAGAAATGTTATATACGTGAACATAAAGGGGTTTTTAATCTTGCTTAAACTATAATTACTGAATAACGACCTATTAAGAAATCACTTAGTTTTGAAAGAAAAAATGTATAACTCTGCAATTATTACTTACTTAAGGTGACGTGAACTAAGAATTTTGGAGACGAAAATTCGGGTCATATTTAAAAATTTTGGTTTTTCGGTTAAATTATAAAAACTTGACAACTTTTGTAAAGGTAAAAGTAAAAGTATGTATGTCATTAGATAAATTTTTGTAATTAATAATATTGCATTTTAGGCTTAGTTATAATAGATTTTAAGGGGTTAACGCAAAAAACGCTTCACAAAGTCCTCCTGAAATAAATATACTATAAAAGCTTTTATTTTGTTTTTATTTTTCATAAGTAATAGCATTTTATTGATATTTTATAAACATTCCTCTGGTGAGTTTTCTAGTAATTTATCCAAGTAAATTTTTGTCACTATACTTTTTCTTACAGAAGATGAATGGGTTTGAATTCATGTTTGTATTTACTAAAAATTTATAGGATTTCTGTAATATGTTATAGCAGAGTAAAAAAAATTACGTTTTATTTTCTGGCTAATATTTTGCTTTGTCTTCTTCCACTGACTTTTTATATTTCTTTAGTGTGGCTTTTAGTTCTTTAATTTCCACCAATAATTTCTGTTTTACTTCCTCTTGTTGGGAAGTGGTCTTGGGGCCAATTTTACTGAGTTTAGCCTCCAAAAGTCGAAGTTCAGCCTCAATTTGTATGATCTTGCGCTCTTTGATCTTCATAAATTGTTCCCTTCTCTATGGTAAAAAAATTATAAAAATAATATAATATATTTCAAAGGTATATACATACAACTCTCAGATAAAAATTGGCCTCATCACCTCTACCCTTTTCAGAGAGCTTATCGGATAGTTGTCGCCTGTTGGTTCTGTAGGTTTTTGAGTAGTTAATTGTAATTAAACCTATTTATTTATTTCACTTACTTAGTCTTGCTTTCCTTTGGGATATATCTGTTTCGCAGAAATGTAATATTCGTAAAGATAAAGGGGTTTTTACTATTGGGTAAGCTGTAATGGCTGAAATAAGGCTCAAGGCTTAAGGCTTTTTTTTTGCTAAATATATAACTCTGCAATTATTACTCACTGTAGGCGGCATTGACTAAGAATTTTGGCAAGCAATACACTATTTTTCATGGTGGAGATTAAAATTCGTGGCATTGAGAATAAATAAATTTAGATGGATGTTGTATTTTGGTTAGTTTAAAAAGTTATGACTTATTTGGCAAAGGTAAAAGTATAGGTAAAAGTTTGTATATAGAGAAATCTATTAAAAATTCAAAACCTCAATGGATGTTGCTTAAGATTTTCTTAAGATTTTTTTGTTTCTCTCCATAGCGAACGAGAAAAAGAGAGTCATACAAAGTACTGCATTCCAAAGTTTCTCCTTTCATTTTTAAATAAATGATTAACCTTTTAAAAATGTAAACAAAGCTTAGCTCAGTTGTTTACATTTTCATCCGAGGGCTTTGTTCTCCTCTAACTGATAAGACTAAATAAAAAATCCCCTATCTCTTGTGCTATTCCAAATATAATTTATTATTGAATCACTTTGCTATATTTTCAGGCGTACATAGTCTTGGGACCTGGCCTTGGTATAGGTGAATCGTAGATAAAGGGGCGGGGTTGGGGATTTGGGTTCCTGAAGGGATTGCTACCGGGTCCATATCCAGATCCAGATCCAGGTCCAGTGTGACGAGAGGGCGTGGCATTGCCAGGAGCAGGCAGGCAACCCAAAAGAGCCAGGATAAGCAGGCAGCAGAGTCCAAGGAACTTCATTGTAAAGCAAACGCTGAGATGTTTCTGGTTGTGAATCTCTCGGAGATTGAGACTTTTATAGCCGTTGCTGCTGCTGCTGTTGCTGCTGCTCTGATGGGGAAGCCCTCGGGGGGATTTTGCTTGCGCTGAAATCACCGACTTTGGGTGATTTCTTATCACCTGACGGGGCATCGTTCGTTGATTTAGTGCTTTCCTTGGCTTTCCTCTTGCCCTGCTTTTTGGGTTCGGTGTATAGTTTCATGTCAAACTCAAGGCCACGAATGCACCGGGTCAGGTCGGTGACCATATGTTCCACGCGTTTCTGTTGAATGCAAAGTTGACGCCATTGGGTGTCCATCAGGCCAAGTTCCTGGAGAAGTTTTGGATAACTTTTTTAATTGATTATAGTTTATATATTTAGGGACTTACATGTCTCATGTCCTCCAGTTTCAATTGTTTTCTTGTAAGGCCAAGATCGGGCAGGATAACCAGGTAGCTCCTAAAGATTTTCAGGCTAGTAATATCTATAAAATAAAATATAAACCCACCTACCTTATGGTATTTGCTCTTAAATAGTTTAAAACAGATCGAATTAAGTGGTTCATGGCTGCTTTAACATTTCTACTAAAAGAAAATTGAAAAAAACCTAAAATTTTATATTTAATGATTAAAATTTGATGTTTTTTAAGCACAGCCCACTTATCCATAACTTGTAAAATATTTTTATATTTTTCTCAAGAAAAAAAAGGTCTCTACATGTCAGTAATCATATTTGTAGAGCCAAAAAGTATGCTAACCCTTTTCCCAAATCCTAAAAAATAAGCAATGTAAACTATAAGTAGATAAATTTTAATGTTTAAATAAAACAAACATAAAAGGAAATAAAAATTTATAGGAACTGCCTTAACTCCCCGAGGGCTTTTTCCAATTCCTTAAGGACTACTAAAAGTTTTTTAACCACATTTTTGGACTCGTCCGGGGGGCGTTTCTTTTTGAGACTATTGATTCGATAGTGAAAGGACTTGATACGTGCTGTCAGCTTTATGATCCTGGCTCTTTTATTGGCATCAATGTTCTGTTGTGTTTTCAGGGATAAGCATTAGTTGGATTTTTAGAAGGATATAGTTTAAAAAACATACCTCATGCTTAGGTTCGATGCTTCTAAAGACACCCTTAAAGGAATAATCCCGTTGATTTCCGTTTAAGTTTTTTATAAAATTAAACACATACAAATTTGAATTTGGACTGTATCTAAACCAGCTTCTAACCAGGACATCGCTGAACTTAGCCAAGTGAAAGGTTTTACCAGCCCCCCGGAGCATAGTGGCAGCTGGCAGATCAAATTTTGTTAAAACTAATCATTGAAAGAAATTTCCTAGGCTCGTTGATATATATTTTAGGATTTTAATTTTTCATTCTTAGCTTTCGGAGGGCAATTTTTAAATCCTTCAGGATCTTGTTCATCTCTTCTAGGGCCTTCTTAGCGTCCCCCGACTTTAACTTTTGCATAGCCTTGATTTTCACTTGCAAAGCCTCGATTTGTGCGGTTAACTCCATGATCCTGGCCTCTTTTCTTTTACTCACTTCAAGTGATTTCTGGCGGCAAAATGTTTTTAAGTATGAAATATCCTTTTTATGTCGATATACATACAACACGGTAGGAATCAATGCCTTTGTCATCCTTGCTGCCCATGGAAATGTCACCAAAGGGTCGGCAACTTCTATGGGAATATAAAATTTATAAGGGGAATTGATTTTTGAGTTACTTACTTAAGTTCGGTTTTAGCTAGTAAATTGGTGGTTTTAACCAAAGACAATAATCTATATGTCCTCTGAAACATAATACTAATTTAACAGAAAATTTTAAATATTTAACAAGAAATTATTTGGTGATGTTTTCCCAGGTTACTCTGTTTAGTTGGATTTTTGCTTAATTAAATAAAGAAATTTACTAGCGGATTTTTTTTTATTTATTTAACATTTCCATAATCCAAACCTAAAACCTATCCCAGTAGTCCTAATCCCTAATGCTACAATTTTAATGGCTTTCCGATCATTCAAACACATTGTTTTCTACACTGCAGGCACACACATACACAAGTAATTTTGGTCCTAGTTTCATAGATTATTTTTGCATATCCTTTTTTTTTGTTACAAATTTTCTGTGAAAAGTAAGGAACTTACAAATGGTTGGCGATTTTTGTACATTTACAAGAGGGGCCAGTGAGCTGATGGCCACTACCCTAGTGATCCTGGTCGGCGGCATTGAAGATGTGAAGGACAAGGATATTAAGAATGTATCCCTTGTGTTGATGTACATCTTTCGATTTGTGTCCGGCGCCCATGCCAATCCCTGTGTCTCGATCTCCTGCTACTTTATGGGCTACCTAGCCTCCAAATTGATGCTGATATATGTGGCCTGCCAGGTGTTGGGAGCTGGCCTGGGGTATCTCCTCTTGATGCGAATCCTGCCCCAGGAAGGAGCTCAGATTGTTTGCCAAAACGAACCCTTGGACAGCTCCATCCAGATTGTGGCCATTGAGTGGCTATTGACCTCGGTTAATGTGCTGGGATATTGTGCCCTGTGGGATATACGGAGTTGTGGCTGGATGTACTTGGGCAGTCTTCGTAGGGAACTTCTAGTGACCGCCTGCAGTTTTGTGGGGGTAAGTTTAAGCCTTCAAATGAATCTAATCCCAGTTCTTGATAGTTTTCTCTTCTCCTTTCCAGGTTCAATTAACTGGAGGCTCTATAAATCCTGTCAAGACACTTGTTCAGGGCCATCCCGGCCTGGTTTGGTTACAGCTAACCGGTCAGTTGTTGGCATCTATTATGATGCCAAAAATCTGGCAAAACGCATATATGCCATGCTATAGATCCCTGCAAAAGCCCATTCAAACACGGAAACCTCAAGCTGTAAAAGGTAATTGTGGCTACCGTGTGTGTGGTTTATTTGATCAAGTGTATGTGCAATTAAATATTAACGATAAGCAGTTTGCGGTGGCATGGAGGCAATCTCGCTCAGATAAGCATATATAGTAGCATTTACATTATGATTATGACGGCAAAGACGACGTCTGCCGCCTTAAGATTTCATTTAAGGTATTTATTTTGTACGAACTTAAAAAACTACAACCGCTTTCAACTTAAACAATAAAACGGGGGATTAGATCCCTAAAATCCTATCTATGCAAATTCCGCCTCGGAGACTCGTTTCGTTGACATGGTGGACTCTTCCAGTTCAGCGTCCTCGTCCACCTCTCGCCGGAAGGCGAATTTATATATCACGGAGGTGACCAGAGATCCAGCCATGGGTCCCACCCAGTAGATCCAGTGATTGTCCCAGGCTCCATTCCAAATGGCCGGGGCAAAGGATCGGGCAGGATTCATGCTGGCTCCAGTAAGTTGGCCCTGTTTTTTGGGGAAAAGAGTAAGGTTGGTTTATTATAAAAAGAGGTTTGTGAACTGTATTATTTGTTTTTTTAGATTTAAAATAAAGGAAGAACTGTATTATTTAGATATCCTATTTCTAGTTTCTCTTGTTTTATTTCTAGTAAAAAATCCTACATATATTAGACTGATTTTGGTTAATCTTGAAAGTAATTTAACTGATATGTGTCAAGTTTGAAGGAATGTTATCTTTACTAACAATTAATTTGAACTTGGACTGATTGCTTTTGGCATTTTCAAGAAATATATTATTTATATATTGATAAGAAATTTGTAGAAGCTTTAAATGTTTATAAATATCATCAAAAGAACTTCTTCTACAAGTTAAAAAAGCTTCAATCTCCCCAAAAAAATTCTTTATAATATAATATTAATATAATTCCAATATGCTTCCCCATAAAAAACCTACCGCCGTTAGTGAAAGACAGGCAATGGCCAATCCAAACCGCACTGGCACCGAATCCTGTTTCGTGGCATTCCTTGGATCCCAGACACCACAGCAAATAGAGATGAGGACGCAGGTGATTAGGAACTCAATGGCCAGACCCTGCCAACTGGTCAGAGTGCTATTCAGAGATGTTAAACACACGCCATCGGGTGTATCCGTGCTATATATGGCATTCTCAGGCAGCACAGCCTTGAGCAGGCCATAGCCTATGAAGGCGCCCACCATCTGGGCCACAAAGTAGGCCAGGGCCATGGGCAGTGAGATCATATCGTAGACATAGGTGGCCAAGGTGACGGCGGGATTCAGGTGAGCGCCACACACACAGCCAAAGCACTGGATGCAGATCAGCACCACAAAGCCAAAGTTGACGGCACTCTGGAAGTTCGAGTTGGTGAACACGGAGTTCTGGACACAGCCCATGCACCCTAGGAACATCAACATGGCGGTGGCTATCATTTCGGCCACGACTGTGGAGATGTTGTCCAGCTGGCGGCGCTGCAAAAGCCAGCAGGATGAGCGGCTGGAAAAGAGGGAAGAGTTAAGGTAAAGTTAGTAAAAGGAATTTTAAATATTTAAAGTTAAAACAATGGGAAAGTGGTATAAAATAAAATGTATTTAAATTTTAAAGTCCATCGGGAATATTATATATCTAATTCAATAGATGATTTATGGAGAATACATTTTAAGATAAAGAAATAGGTTAGTAGAACAATTCTAGAAATAATTGTATAGACAATTCAGGTATTAAGACGCTATAATCAATAACATTATTTATTATTAAAAAGTAAACAATCAGTTATATATCACGTGGACTTTGAGTGTCCCATTGGGCTTAACAAATTGCTTGATGTCACTAAACTTGAAGAGGTTATTGTTTATTATTTGATAATAATTTATAAGGTAACTCAATAAACTAAAGTTAAATAATTACAAAAAATATAAAAATAAAATATTAAAATAAAATTGCATTAAAATGTATCTTTTATATTTCCAGGAATTCAAGACTATTTATTAACTTAAAATCTATATTTTTAACACAATTAAAGTCCTTTTAAAAGGAAATCCTTTAAGATAAATCGTAATCTCCACTTCACAAGTTGCACTTTTTGTGTTTTTTGATTAAAAGATCACCTCGTGGTCGTAGCCATAATGCCAGGTAGGAGTAGACGGAACAATTAACCCGAACGTGGACGTGGTTCAACTCGGACTGGAGTGCACTCCAGCGGATGGCTCAATGGGTGCGGATCATATACTACATATATATATATGGACGGTTCTTAATCGCCGACAATCTCGTAGAGCAATTATCAGGCCTTCTAATCGTCTCGAGTCGAGTTGAGTTATCAGGCAGCAGACTGTTCTATATACTACAAATATATATAAACATATATACAGCTGTATTTGCTCAAGTATTGGCGAACATATTCGGCTTCGTGGGCCCATTCACCTGACGTTTAGCCTTATGACGTTGGTCTAGTGGCACCTTCGAGGCAATTTGCACTTGTGATACGGACTATCTTCGGTTCAGAGATATAGTAGGACAGTTGGCATTAAAAAATTCCATCGATTAGTGTTACATTTTAAATGATTTACAAGTAAATAAACATCATCATCATCGTGCCTGGCAATAGCTTATCAGCAATTGAGCCATTCAAGGGTTTACCTTGTGGGCAACTTTATTAATGAATATTTTTTAATCTTTATAATTTTTGTTGGTTCTTTGGTAGTTTCTTATTAAATTGTGTGTTTATTTCTGTCTCACACACACAAGGCAAAACAACGAGCCCCCAAAAAACCTTAAATATATGCAGTCATCCCAAATGTATGCTAGCAATTCGTAGTAAAAACAAATATTTAAAATTAACCAAATGTGTGGAAACCCTGTAGGAATAAGTTTGACAATCCTGACAGTTATCCTTATTGTAATCGATATACATATGTAACTATTTATCGATATATATGTGGCAGACAACCCTGTAAGTCCGAGTTGACCTGCTGTCGAGCTCTGCGACATAGCTTCAGTCGTCTCCTTCCCTTTGAAGGGAACACTTCTTATTCCAAGAAATTTTATTTTGTTTTTGTTTTTTATTTATTTAATTATGTTGTTCTTTTTTTTAGTTGATTCTTTATAATTTATTTTGTCATACATCAACATCTTCATTTTCATTATTTTTTGATTTTTGTTTATTATTTTTATTTTGTCCCTACCTTATCTTCATCCTCTTCGTCTTCTTTATTTTTTGTTGTTTTATTTGAAACTTATAAATTGTAATATAAATAGGACCTGTCTCGGATGGCAATGATTTTTCTTTACCTCTTTTTTTTGTACTTGTTCTTTATATTTTAAAATTCATTTTAATTATCGTGTTCCTTTGTTTAATATTTCTTAAACTTCTTAAAATTTCTTTTAAATGAATTACTCTTCTTTCTCTTTTTGCTCTTCTATTTTTTATTTATTATTTTTTATTTTTAATATTCAAACTGTAATATAATAGGACCTGTCTCTGATGGCAATGATTTTTCTTTTATTTTGATTTAATAAAATGGTTCATCCATTTGTGGGATAATTAATTAATATTGAGTGACATTTTGTTAATATTTATATATACATTTTATTTGTATTTTATTGTATTTAACAATCTTTACCTGAACAATCGGTATATATATTTATTTCGCTTAAAATTCTAACAGTACAGCTAAAGCATAAATTAATATGTTCATTGGACCACCACTTCTCCGATCATCCGGATCTGGGCATTGGAGTTCCTTAGATCAATCTCTTCGTCGCCCTTGAAACAGATTCTGTAGACCACCGAGGTCACTGCTCCGGCCACCAAAGGACCCACCCAGTACACCCAATGAGCCGCCCAGGAGTTGTTCCATACAGCGGGTCCCAGCGATCTCGTTGGATTCATGCTGGCGCCCGTGAAGAGACCCTAAAAAAATAATGAAGAAAACCTCAAATTCAAATTTCCAATAAATTCCCAGATAAATACCAACCGCTGTGAGGATCAGACAGGACACTGTTAGACCGAATTTCACGGCCACCGAGTCTTGGAACCGTTTGTTTCTCGGATCCCAGACCGAACAGGCCACCATAACCAGGCAGCAGGTGATCAAAAACTCAATGAACACGCCCTGCAGTTCGCTGATCTCCGGAGCCAAAACGGTGACACAAGCCCCGGCGGGATTATCCACACCCTTGATGGCATCCTGGGGCAGAACGGCCACCAGTAGACCGTAGCCAATCAGAGCTCCCGCCGCCTGGGCAATGAGATAAGCAATGGCCTTTAACCAACCTATAACGCCATAGATCCAGGCAGCCAGGGTGATGGCCGGGTTAAGATGGGCACCGGAAACGGAACCAAAACACTGAATGGCTATGAGTATGGCCAGGCCGAAGGTCAAACCGCTCCGGAAGTGCGAATTGCCAAAGAAGGGTGTTTGAACACAACCCATGCAGGCCACAAAGACGAACATGGCGGTGGCCACCAGTTCACCAAAAAAGGAGGCAATTGCCACTCGATGGCTCTCTTGGACTCGCCATCGGGAGGGGGAATTGCTGCCAAATTTGGACTCCTGCGACTTTTGCTTCTGTTGCGACATGCTGACCGAAGAACACTACTGCTGCTACCAACGAAGCCAGCAGCTCGTAGCCCAGAGCTGTGCCTCCCAAATTGGCCACAAAGGCAATCAATCAATATCCATTATAAAACCTTAATGCTAATTATCGAGCGCAGATTTCAGGGCAGACCAACAGACCCGAGACCCGAGACCCCATACCCCAGACCCAGATAGATCACTTCATCATGGGGGCTTTGGCTTCCTGGCATTTTCGGGGGCTTTGCTCAGCCATAATTATCGGCCTGATAAGCGCCACTGCCGATTTGTGCTCAATCTTATCTCATTAAGATTTTTATCGGACGGCGAACGGGGCGCCAAGCCTTGGACAACACTTCTTGGTATCACAAGTCCACCTCCCTGCCACTTTTCATAGCAACCTCCTCCCTCTACCTCACAGTAAAGCCCCTCTGCATTTCCAGGATTTTCCGAGTGAGGTAAGAAAATCCCGCATTATCATACGTCTGCAGTTTGTAGTCCAATTTAAACTCACTAACATGCCATAATTCTGGGCAATACGTACATCATTTATAGTCTCTTGTGTCAAGACGGTATTACTTTTTTAAGTCTTTTCATTAAGACTTTATTTAGCATTTTGATTGGTCGATTTGAAGGCATTTAAAATATTAAGAAAAAACTTATGACTTGCCATAACAAGGGTTGTATTCAATGACAATGTTTTTCTGCAAACTAAATGGACTTTGTAATATGACAATTGGGTTTTCAAAATGCCACTCCTATTTTATTTTAGTTTAAAAGTAATTAAGAACCTTAGACTTCTATTTTCTTTTATTTCTATTTCTATTTGTTCTATTTTGTTAATTAAAAACCACATTTCTTTAGAATATTTTAAAAATCTCGATGTTCTTTATTATAATTGAAGGCAATCGGGGTATCAGCCAAGAATTATCTAGCTACCAAAACCTTAGGCTTTTGTAACAAAATAAAACCCCTGGCAAACCCCAATAAAATAGCGTACAATGAATGCATTAATATAAAATTCGGCGTCTTAGATTAAAAAGTAAATTAGTTAAGGCTTTCCTCCCACAGCAATGTGTCTTTGGCATCTACGACAGCTGGACATCCTCCAAGTGGCGCAGTTTCTCATTGGCGGAGATCTCCGCCTCGACCACCTCCCGTCGGAAGACAATCTTGTAGGCATAGGCAGTCAAAGCGGCAGAGCTCAAGGGAGCCAGCCAGTAGATCCAATTCTTTTCAAAGTGATAGTTCCACAAGGCGGGGGCAAAGGACCTGGCAGGGTTCATGCTGGCGCCAGTGAAGGGACCCTAAAAAAAGGAAATTTTAAATTTTAAATAAAAACAAGACTCTCCTCAAAAAGACTTACAGCAGCACAGGCCAGACAGGCAATGGCCAGACCAAAGCGTATGGCCACCGAGTCATGGAACTTGGCATTGCGGGGATCCCAGACGCCGCAGCAGACGATGACCAGGATGGAGGTGATCACGAACTCAATGCCAAAGCCCTGGGCATCCGTGACAGTGGCATGGGGCAAGGTCACGCACAGACCAGCGCCTGTGTTAATGGTTTCCGTGGGCAGCAGGACCTTCAGCAATCCATAGCCAATAAAGGCACCCAGCATCTGGGCCACAAAGTAGGCAAAGGCCATGGGCAGCGTGACCATGTCATAAATATAGGCAGCCACTGTCACAGCAGGATTCAGATGGGCACCCGAAACACAGCCAAAGCACTGGATGGCAATCAGGACGGCAAAGCCAAAGTTCAGGACTATCTGGAGATGATTGTTGGCAAACAAGTCCGTCTTCACGCAGCCCATGCAGCCGAGGAAGACCAGGATGCCAGTGCCGATGAGTTCGCCCAGAAAGGCGCAGATTTTGTCCAACGTCGATCCTTTCATTTTGAATACCTTACAGCAACTGAAAAGGGGTCGCAGGGAAATGGTTAGAAAATATTAGAACTAGAGAGCCAACAAAAAAAACCAACCCCCTTTGCTGTTACTCCGCTCTCCCAGCTTAACCCTGCGCCCCATCCATCATATCGTATCTCTGGGCCATTGTATCGTTTCCCTAAGCTTTTTAATTATATTTTAATCTCCAGCACAAGCTGCCTTACTATATAGATATACCTACTATATCTTTATCTTGTTTATAGTTTTCTGAGAGACCTTTTCTTGAGTTCTTCTTGGTTAATATCTGAACTTCTTTCCACCCCCTGGAGATCCACAGGCACCCTCTGCTCCTGCTGCTGCTGTTCGCGGTTCGTTGACATGTCATCGATTTTTTCCACTCAAATATAACTTGATTTTTTTGATCGAAAACACAAAATTCACGATGCGCACATTGGCATTGTCACAAAGCAACTGAAACCAGATTAGCACGGAGCGTGTGTGTCCCACAGGAAGAGGTATAGCCTACTATATTTAACAGAAGCTCTTGCGATTGCCTGTTCAGCTGTCAATCGTCGAGTTCATAGATAAATTGCCGAATAAAAAAAGACTAAATCAAAGCATGGCCATAAAACAATAGACCAATCTTTGTGGCTCTTATCGGTTGTGTAGGAGTACCACTTGAGGTGGTACCTTCCCAAAAAAAGAAATTCTGAGCAACTTAATCCATTTTTTATTGCGTTTATCTGTATTTTGGAGTTGTGATCAGTTCACATACTTTTGGGAGAGTCTTTGGAGAAACGAATATAAGAATTAAATGGATTTTCTTTATATATATTTTTGTACAATTTGGAGAAGTTAGGTTTTGGCAACTAAGAACTCACAAAGTTAATATTCTATAAAAAATATAAAGAGGTTCTTCTAATTGAATTTGTTATTTGTATTTTTCAATGTTTTAAAATATATATTAATTACCAATAATTAATAATACTCTTCCTCCAGTTCACATTCGACAGCCCAAGCGATCGGTAGTGTTCTTCCGCGAAACGTTTACGTAGCGCAGCATCCAAGCATAAAGCAGACGAAAAGATAGCGACCTCTTATCTACATTTCGAGCGAAGCAGCAATCAATTTCGGCAACTTTAAGCAACCTTATAGTTTGTTGACCCCAAACATGTTCGAACCTCCGGACATCTGGAGGAAACACCCTCCCGACGGAATATTCCTAATCGCAACGAGTACAGATGAGCATACCAAACACCTAGCTGAGATATCACCATTCATCGTCAAAAAGACCATCGATTTTGCAATTCAAGGAGAAGTTATTAGTTGCAAAAAAACCAAGGACGGCAATCTACTTATTAAAACCAAAAACAAACTACAAGCCGAAAAACTAATGAAACTAGAGACCATGCCTACAAATATACCATCCCACATTATACCCATAAAAATTACTGAACACCGAAGCCTTAACTCTACTAGAGGAATAATTTATTCAAACGACTTAAGAGGAATTGATGAGCAAGAAATATTGGAAAATCTCAAATCGCAAAAGGTTGAAGCCGTAGAAAAAATCTACAAAAATATCCCTGGACAACCATTCGCCAAATCACAACAAAATGAAACCGGACTTATCAAAATTACTTTCAAACTAACCAACCTACCAGAATCACTATACATTGGATACGAGAAAGTTCAGGTACGACCTTACATTCCACCCCCAATGCGCTGCAACAACTGCCTCCACTTCGGTCATACCGCTAAGTTCTGCAAGAACCCTCCAACCTGTGCAAACTGTGGACTCCCAGCCCACGTAAATTACGCCAACGCAGAAATATGCCAAAACGCCCCTAACTGCATTAACTGCACCACTAAAAAGCTTCCCGAGACTAACCACCACGCCCGCAACAGAGCATGCCCAATTTTCTTGTCCAACAAGGAAGTCCAGGCAATCAAGACGCTAGAGAAAGTCGATACCAGGTCAGCCTGGTCCATCTACAACAAACGACACCACGATGGCTCTTTATACTCTTCAGCAGCTAAATCAAACACACCAAACGCAATCCAAGCACAACCATCAACTAGCAGAAAAACAGTAAGCTACACACCAAACGAATTCGACCTACCTAACGCAACGAACCTCAGCTCAGACGAACCCATGTCAACAGAATTGGAAACACCCAGCACCTCCCAGCCCGACCCCACCAAAAAGAAATTAACAAAAATTCTCCCCCTAAACACATCAAATAAAACCAAACGACTATTGAAAACTGAACAGAGCTCAATATTGACTAGAGCAAAACTTAAATCCATATCCGCTATAAGTCCAGATCAATAAATCAATTAGATACCACATACTATTACCATTTATCCTTATCTATAAGTACACATTTATATTAATCAAATCAATATGCTAAAAGTTATACAATGGAACATACACGGCTATAGAAATAATTATACTGAACTACAAATGTTAATTAAAGATCAAAACCCACACATTATAGCCCTACAAGAAACCCATTTATCAAACCTCTCCTCACTCCCCACCCCAATTAACTACACACTCTACACCAGCGTCAACAACAGCAATAGCTTTGGCGGCGCTGCCCTCCTCATCCATAATTCCATTACCCAAAACCAAATTCCACTGAACGCAGACTTCGACGCAGTCGGAGTTAATATACACTCCAAAATCAAATTCACTATAATATCTGCCTACATATCTCCCACCAAAACATTTAATTCTAAAAATCTAGAAAACATCCTTGACCCGCAAAATAATGCCCACACGCTAGTGCTGGGTGACTTTAACAGTTGGCACCCGTACTGGGGTTCACCAAAACAAAACAGTAGAGGTAAAATTATAGCCGAATACATAGACAAATCTGACTACATCCTCCTCAACGACAAATCCCCCACTCATTTTTCCACCCATAAGACCTTCACACACATAGATTTATCTTTTGCCTCAGCGTACATAGCCCCTGAAATCCAATGGAAAGTGCTAGATGACCTATATGGCAGCGATCACTTCCCTATACTAATATCCATGTTTAACGACCAAACTTCTCCTAACTTTATGTCAAAACCCTTATTCAAACTCCAATCCGCAGACTGGGAC